AAGATTATTTAATAGCCTTGACAACAGATGAGGCCTGTTCACACTGGATTGGTAGGGAAATATCTGTAGGGAAGGGAATGTGGTGGAGTCATCTATTAAAGAAGAAATCAGAGGTCCAAGTGTTGGACAGAATGTGTCAACATACATGTGGGGTTGGTGTGGAGAAGTAAAGTTATTGAAGGGTTGGGATGAGCAAAGGAATGGAAGGAGATGTGTTTCCTGCAATAAGGGACAGCTGAAGGGGATCCGGAGTAAGAATTTTTAGGTGGGATGGAGACCAAGAGTCCCATCTTGAACTTGTTAACATTGAGATTCCACCATTTTATTTCATGAAGACAGCTTCTTAGTTGGGTCTGGAGCCTAGAAGACTGTTTCAGCTGGAGGAGAGGCCATGGGTGAGGCTGGGAAAGCAGGAGACCTGGGAAGAGAGTGTGCATTGAGTGTCCTTGGGACATCCTTCCTCATGCCAGTTATCTCAGCCTTGCCGTGCTAGACCCTTCTCTCCTTGATGGTGTGATCCCATTTCATAAATAACGTCCTGGTTTCTCTGCATATGCCGGTGCACTGGATTCTGCAGATCTTTCTCCCGTTGTGTTTCTCTGGGTATTTTTCATGCTGCTTCTTGCCCTTTGATCTGAAGTTGTTTTGCTCTATATGCTCCATGCTTTTTAAAATAAGTTTTTTCACATTTTTAAAAAATGTATAATCTGTTTATCTGAAAGGCAGATTAAGCTACAGAACTCCAAATCCTTGACAAGTTTCTAAAAGGTAAATTGTCCAAATGTCTCACCTATTGACTGATCCTCAGGACCCCTCATACTGAGCAGTGTTTAAAGTTTTTAATTTTTTAAAAAATATTTATTCATTTATTTATTTACTTTTGGGTTTTCTATCTTTCCTTTGATTCATAATATTTAATTCTGTGGGCTTCAGTTTCTAGGATGCACCACGCCTTCTCTACCCTTTTCGCCCGACTTTTCTGGGATTTCCAGTCTTTGTCTCTATCATGTCAGATAATGGCAGGCTGGGTCTGCAGCTGAGGGGGTCGTAGTCGATAGTGGTGATGTGCCTTCCAGCAAGTCTATGTGAGCAAGAACACAGAATGGATCAAAGACAACAAGACAAACACGAGGCCCAGCAACTAGTGACCTTGAACTTCAGCAACTAGGCAAAGGTAAGTTTTCAGGTTGAAGACTTCAAAAATTGGCTCTGCAGAAGCAGAGAAGGTAGTTGCTTACAACTAGTGCAACTAACTAGTCAGAAGTCACTAACTAGTGATATGACCTTGAACAAGTAACTTAAAGTCCTTTGGGTTCAGCATCTCCTCCTTTGTAACATTAAAGGATTTGTCCAGATGATCCCTCAGTGGCTTCCAGCTCTAACATTCTCTAACGAATGTGCAGCACCAGGCTATTGGGGGCCACCCCCTTTACTTTCTGCCTTGTGAGCTTTCATTTTGTTACAAGCTTTTGTTATTTCAAAGATAACTTTTGTTGTTAGAAATCTAAGTATGCTCTCGTGTGCTTGTTATATCGATAACCTTTTTCATTTCAGTTCAAGACTTTGATGACAGTTGCCAGGGAGAGCATGACCAAATAAAATCATGTTTTGTGTTCTAACATTTGTTTCATCTTCATCTTTTGTCAGCGGAAATATTGCTACTTGTCATTTTAACATTTTTCAGTGACACTTCTTCCCTCACTCAGGGCCTTTGAAGATTTTCTCATCAGAATTAAGGCCTCTGCTAATAGTTCTCAGGGCTGCTGCTTGTGCCCCAGAAAGAGGTTTAGGCAAACCTGCTTGTGCTAACCAAGGTCTCTGGGCAATCTCCTCTCCTCCCCATAAAGAGAGCCAACATTCAATTAGGGGACCACAATTTGGAGGAAACAACTCCCGTAAGGCTTGGTGGCTTCTGTAGCCTTCCTGATGCTGATTGGAAGTTGGCTTATTTATATTCCAGACCCTCTATGCCTCTTCCCCAGGAGAGGGAGGCCTGGGAGCCCTGGCGTTATGGGGTGGGAATAGCTGACCTGGTTATCCCTTCCTGAGAAGCATAGCTGGTGAAACACCATAAAGCCCTTCAGCAGGGAGAGGCCTCGCTTATCCAGTGGGTCAGAGAGCTTTCCTGAAGGCACACAAAGAAAGCGTTCAAGTGGAATCAGGGCACAATACAGGCGTGTTTTCTGAGAAACAGGTTTGAAACCAGGTTTTCTTTTCTAGCTTGAAATCAAGATCGTTCTGGTTGAAATCAGGTTTGTTCTAGAAAGCCCAGAATCTCTGATACTTCTGTTTTCAGGGGAGGTTGAAGGTTAATTTCCGTATGTTTAGGTAGACACCAGAGAGAAATACCAATGGTGATGAGTGGAAGGGATAAACATTATTATTGCTAAGACTGACAAGTGATGGAGACCAGTTTGTTGGAAAGTCACAGTTTTGGTATTTGAATGAGAAGGGATTTTAAGAATAATCTAAACACCACTCTTCCTTTTATGATATCTAAGACCTATAGAGCTTGTATGGCTTGCCCAGCACCCTGCACATAGCCTTACACATTTTATAAGTTTATTAACTATTTTGAATGCATGTTCTGGAGCACAAATCTTGTTGGTGGCAGTCCTGAATGATGGGTGTGGAAGAAGGGGAGGCATGAGATGCTACTGGTACTTGTACATAATATTTCACCTGTAGTAAATGGGGTACTTTGGTGAATATCCCACATGGCTTCGTGTCCTTGTGCCCATGGGTATCAGTTAAACAGGGGGCATACTCTCTGTTTCTTTTCATGATATGGAGCATCTTGCAACCCGGAATAACTCTGGTGGTTCCAGATAAGTGTAAGACAAGAGGTGCCCAGCTATCTGAATGTGATCACAGATCCATTGTCTGGCCTTCCCTCATACAGATAAGGTTAGGTTTCCCATTTTAGAGATGGAGGAACAACGTATTAATGAGAGATTTTAGATAAAAAAATGCGCTGCAAAGAGTGCACCTAATAGTCAGCAAAGGAAGATTTAACCTTTTGGGTTGAACCTCCCATTGGTACTTCTCATGATTAGAAGCTGCCTCTGTAGAATGCTGACGCCACACTGCTCAACACCTGCCTCCCCCTTATTTCTAAAAGGATAAGCAAAATTACTTCTGTTCATTTCTGTACTAATCATGGTGGCCTCGATGGAATTTCTTATTGGTCTCTGAGTCTGCACTAGAGACAACATTTGTGTTTCAGAAGTACTGGTTGTAATTATAATTTTAAAAATTCCACCCACTTAGGGCCGGATCACAGATAGGCTGGTCACAGTAACCATTCTCCCAGGTTGTAATTTCTCAGATGTTTAAAAAACAGACTAAAAACATTTCTAACATGATACCACTTGGTGTCACTGTTAGCCTGTTGACCAAATAATGATTTCCTTTCAGTGTATATATATTCTAAACAAATGACAACTTGTTTATTTTAAAGAAATATTTTTGGGCTAAGCTGAAATAGATCTATCAGAGTTCAACTAAATGTCTTGCTTTTTAATATTATTTTTCAAAACATTGGGTTTATTTCAGTAGACACATTTCTGAACAAATAGATCTTCTCTAATTAAGAATAAAAAGCCTTGGTTATTGCATCTAAGTCATCTCAGTGTATTGAGCAGAAATAAAAGGACCAGAAGGAAATTCTTAAAAATGTTGTCAAAGCCAAATCAATGCAAAGTGAGTTGGAATATTTAGAGTTGATTTTTTCCAACTAGTAATTTGATTATCAGTACTGTTCTAGTCTTTATGATGCTGAAGATGTAAGCATGTGGGTCCACTGAGGTGGGTAAAAAAAAATATTGATTGAGTACTTATCATGTGAATATTTTTGTTAAGTGATTTACATTTATAAAGTCTAATCATCATCATTATGACCATTTTAATTCTTTAATATTATGCAGTTAACAAAGCACTTATTTTAATGACTCCCATTAGGCAGAGGGAAAATGTCAAAAAATACTCAGGGAAACCAGAAACAAAGAAGACACAGGAGAAACATCCATGAGTTATACTCCCTATTATTATGGATTTATAAAAGTGTACCCAAGTTCATTAGACACATCTTGATATTTGACTGCACATTGTTCCTAGTACTTGCTAAATTCATCATATTTCCTCATGGTTAAAAAATACATATTAATAATGAAGACAAAAAGAAAAAGAAAACTGTCTCCAGTTTTTCAAGTCTAAGGATTATAACCTTTATTTAAGAGCAAATACCAGCTGGGTGAAAAGTCAAAGCCAACCAACATGCATGAAGGTCAACTACATCATGATTACCAAATCTTTATGTAAGTACTGATTTTGCCTTGAGGTCATACCTGCATAGCAAGCTGCCTAGTCTTTGAGAGTGTTTGGAGGTATTTCAAACTCAGCATATTTCAAAGTAAAGACATTTTCCATCCCTATATCAGCTGCATCCCAACCAACCCCATCTTATTTGCCCCCTGCGATTCCAGGAGCACCATCATCCCCCCCATCCTTCAAGCCAGAAAGCCTGGAAGTCATCCTAGACTTCCCTTTTCTCCTGTCTCTTATATCCAGTCACTCATGTCTTCCTGTTTGTCCTCTGGATACTGATATCTCTGACAATTTGTCTTCATTTCTGCATACCCTAGTTCAAGTTCTCATCATCCAATTTACAGAAAAGGACTATTTCCTAACTCTTGCTCCAGTTTTTCCTCTACTCTGTCCTCCAGATTGTTGCCAGAGCCAGCCAAGAAAATCAAATCAAGTCACACTTGTGTTCAGAATTTCCCAGTAGCTAACCATTAACTAGAGGTTAAAATAGGAAAGCACTTAGTATCTGCTCCTTGTGTAATATTACAGTACTCCGTTACGATTTATGCTATGGCCACACTGAACTACCCAAAAACTCCTCAAGTAATTTTGAATTTAAGTGTGATTTGATGGAGAATAGAGTTGCACCTCAACCCCGCCAATTGCCACACCACTAAAACTTTATTTTTGGGGGAGCTTTGGAAATTTGAGTTGGGCTAAAAAAAAAACTCAAAAATTAATGATTAAGTAAATATGTGAATGCATGTGAAAAGATTTGGGAGTATTAAGATTTATTAGTTTATACATAAATTTTTAGTTAGTCAGCTAAGCAGCTTCACTATACATAGATGAATCCTCTGTCTAGAGTCTGGGGTATGGCAAGAGGACCCTGTAGGTACCCTGGACTCTCTTCACAAGGTAGCTTAGGGCCATTGCTGGGAGGAAATCAGTGTAATTCTGGCTATTATGGGTAGCTGGATAACCTTGGTTAACTTATTCTACTTCAGTTTCTCCTAAGCAAAGTTAAAATAGCAACATTAACCTACCCCCCGCAGGCAAGTTAATAAGTACATTTTCCCCCAAAGTGCAATGTACGAATTTTCATTAGTCATAGGGCTACGATAATAGTTAATTGTCTCTAGTTCTGCTTGTTATTTACTGCTCACTCGAGCAAAAGATGCTACTGAAGGGACTGAGGGGGAAAAGTTGCAAAAGATGCTGATATGCCAAATAAGTTGCCAAGGTAATAAAAAATGTAATCAAGACTGCAGAAGACCTTCTGATTTCCATCCCAAGCAATCATTAGAGATTCTATTGCAAACTAATTTTCTTATCTCTTATCTCCAAGTCAGCTCCTCTGCCAAGGACTTAAGGACTCAATTTATCATCTCCCTTAACAGGTACCTTGGCTGCAGTGTGCTTTGGCTCTGGATCTACCCAAATGATTTAAAGCAAAATTGATTCTGACTCACAATATATATGCTCTGGGTTTTAAATGCAAATGCATAAATGCTGAAGTAATAGACGGTGCAACACTTACACTGTGGATATACAACTTTTGCTCTCCCAAGCTCCTCTTCCGAATGACTAATATTATCTCTAGAATCAACCAAAATGCATCAAATATTCTATTTTTCTCTCTCCTCTTATCAGGATATGAGAAGAAAAAGATAAGACAAAGGAAACATAGCATGAAGAGCCTCCAGAACATCAAATATCAAAGCAGCTTAGCAAGGCTTTTATGTAGGTTACTGTCTATTTTAATACTATGAAGATAATTTTCCCAAACCTGCCACAGTCTGACTCCTCTCAAGGCTGGGCCCAGGGTGCATGGAGTCAAGTCTGGGCACAGCCATTGCCTTTGCCAGTAATTGCAGAGTTGAGGAGAGGACAGTTCCCAGCAGGCCCTGGGCATGGTTCTCGTGAATAATTCATCAGGATGGCCACTGGCTGGGGAATATCCTTCTTCCACTGATTACTTGCTTTTTATCCACACATTTATCTTCATTAAAGACTTTGTTTCCTCTCTAATACTTGTCTCTAATTTTTCCCACTTAAAGCTATTTTTTTTCCTCCTGGCTTTGAGTTTTTAGATACACTCTTTTTCCTTCCTTCCTTCCTTCCTCCCTTCCTTCCTTCCTTCCTCCCTCCCTTTCTTTTTTCTTTTTTTTTTCTTCTTTTTTTTTCGCCCTTCTGTTCCCACAGACCCCCTGGATGTGTGGGGGAGGTATGTGCTGGGGTCCTATGGTAAAGGTAGAGATGAGGGACAGTCCCAGGGGTAATGTAAGACAAGATGTCAGGGCTACATCCCACTTTCCCGCATGTCTCCCAGCTCGCAGGCCCTGCTCAGAGGGATGCTCGAGACAATGAGCTGTCCAGACCGGACTCTGACTTTGGCTCTTGCTCCACTTCGTATACCTGCTGACCAGCCCAGCGTCAGGCAGAGCACACCTCCCTGGTGAGGAGAGAAAGTACCAGTACTAACCACAAATTTCCAATGCAATGAATGTTTAAATCCTCAGATTATTTTCACTATTGAGAATTAACCAGATGTCACAATGTTGGGTTCCGACATCATTACTATAGGGCACAGACTAATGGAAATTAGACTTCCAAGAACTATTCTGACCCTTCACTAGAGATTTCTTTTATGTGAAGATAATGATCAGCCTTTCCTTGCCAAGGGCAGGTTTCAATGTACATAGCTAAACTTCTAAACAAGTCAATTCAAAGTAATTTTTCAAATGAATGTTTGCTTTTTTACATTCCAAATTTATAAAAACATATATGTTCTTAGTCAATGTAAGTTTTATTTTCCTTCTCTCTGCATTTCAGTTGTATTGAGGGGGAAAAATAAAGGCTTTTTTATATTGTGTGTTTTTTAAACAAATATAAGCTCATGATTATTATGAATCTGGTGCCATGATCTTTTTGCATGTACTGCAGTCTAACCTTATGATTTTATTAATAATTAATATAATTCATGAAAAAATTCCCCCCTGGCAATTTCTGAGTTCATTCTTTCTGATCTTTTCCTGAAGCTGGACACCATGCTGCCAGTCTCTGATCTCTTATAAGAGTTTTGAAATACCATTTTAAGTTAATTAAGTTTATTGACTAACTAGAGGCCTGGTGCACAAAATTCGTGCACTGGGCGGAGGACGGGGGTGGGGGGGGTGTTGTACCTCAGCCCAGCCTGCACCCTCTCCAATCTGGAAAATCCCTCTCATAATCCAGGACTGCTGGCTCCCAACCGCTTGCCTGCCTGCCTGTCTGATTGCCCCTAACCGCTTCTGCCTGCCAACCTGATCAATGCCTAACCACTCCCCTGCCAGCCTGATTGACGCCTAACTGCTCCCCTGCTGGCCTGGTCACCCCCAAATGCCCTTCCCTGCAGGCCCAGTCATCCCTAACTGCCCTCCCCTGCTGGCCATCTTTTGATGACATGGGGGCGGCCATCTTGTAACCACATGGTTGTGGCCATCTTGTGACCACATGGGGGTGGCCATGATGGTTAATTTGCATATTACCTCTTTATTATATAGGATTTCCTTAATAGCCTAGGGCATTTGTCATTCAGACCTATTGCTTAATATATGTCCGTTTTCCCCCCAATAATTTTCCCACTTATTCTTTGTAAATAGCAATTTTTACACAGTCTTTATTAGTTTCTAATTGTTCAAATTTATTTTCTTTATTATACCTGCTAAAGACCAATTTTAAAAGGAATTCATTTTCCCTGCTATTTGAGAACTGATGTTCTTTGTTTTTTACAGGATTTACATTATTCCAGTATATATTGCCTTTGGTTTTGGGAACAGCTCAAAAATCCTTTGTTTGTATTTAGCATATTCCATAAAAACTAAAATTAGACATTTTGAGAAAAAAGATTTTTTTCTTCGTTATGAGTAATATAATAACATTTCATCTACATCTTATTAAATAAAACTCTCAACAGTTTTAGCTACTGCAGCTCGTAACTCACTCAGCTTTTGTTTTTAACACATGTTACTGCCAGTCAGATCAGAATGCTTTATGCTCACATCCACAGTAGGAGATTTTCTTGCCACCTACCTCAGAAAATTTGATCCTCAGTAATGACATTTTAATTCTTTAAAAGTGACTTAGGCAATTATTGTAATGGAAAGTTTTATTCTTTTGTCTTTAACATTTTTTTTCACCTGAAGCTTTTGTCTCTATCTTAATATTTGCATTGAAATGTTTAAAATCAGATGTTTTAGCCCTGGCAGGTTTTGCTCAGGGGTTAGAGTGTTGGTCCTTGGACTGAAGGGTCATGAGTTCAATTCCAGTCAAAGGCATATACCTTGGTTGCATCCCTGGCCAGGTTCGATTCCTGGCCCCCTGTGGCCACTTGCAGGAGGCAAGCAATCAATATGTCTCTCTCATGTCGATGTTTCTCTCTGTTTCTCTCTCTCCCTCCCTTCCACCCTCTCTAGAAATCTATGGGAAAAAATCCTCTGGTGAGGATTACCAACAACAAAAAAATCAAATAGTTTAAATTTAATATGTATCCACAAAATTGTGTTTTTACCCCTTCTCCTCTTATGAGTTTGTACAGGATAGCGGGCAGAGTCTGAATACAAAAGTCTGACTTTCACATATGAAGTAACAGTCTCCAGGAAACTCTATTATGTCCGAGGGTAGTCAATAAGGTTTGCAATAGTGCTAAAAATGATGTCACACCTCAGAAGTTTAAAAACAGAACACACAATTATAAAACAAAAAGTATTCTTTTCAACTATGTTAATTTCTATCTCTCAGAAACTATGCAAAGGGAATTGGGCCACTCCCAAACTGCTCTTCTTTCCACTTTCCAATTTAAAGTGTAGCTGATGGATGAATTTCCTTCCCTCGAGGGACACCACAGTCCCTCCCTTTTGGCTGCAGGTCAAATGCAGGTCTCTCCTGGTGCCTTATGTCAGAACATCAGGCCCCCTCCATTTCTATTTTCACCCCCTGGTTTAAGCTTGTCCTCCTTGCCCATGCCGCCTCCTCCCTCCCCTCCCATCAGCTCCCTGGGCTCCCTCCTGTTTCTTCCTCGTGTTCTTACTCCCACAGCCCCTCTGGCAGGCGGGTGTCCAACCTTCCATCTGGAGGAGCAGATTCTGCTTTTCTCACAGTTTCTCTCAGAATTGACAGTTTCACTGAACACAAACAAAAAGCCCCAAACTAAAACCAAAACAAATAAATAAAACACTATCTCGCTTTCTCTGTCATCCACTCAACAGCTGCTCAAGACTGAACATTTTGATGTTATTGAAAAGCTTCAAATCCCAATTCTTTAGGTTGACACAGTCCCCAGGACACGTAGTCAGAATCCTGAGGGCACATGAGGCTGTCAGAGTGTGGCCAGCTGCATTGAGGGTATGACTCTGTCCCCCTCGGTGTCACCTGTTGGTCTACTCTCATCATTCTGTTATTTCTGTGGAGCTGCTAAAGCTACTAGTGGAGAGTGATGGGCTATTTTCCTAAAGATTTTCAGATGAACTCTCATTTCTTCTTCCATAATTTCTTGTGTCTGTCCCCAGCCCACAGCCTTCTTTTCATTCTTCTGATACCTTTCAGAGCCTTGGAGTTCCTGCGGATAGGTTGGTCTATGACGGTGTGACGTCTATGATGGTTGGTTACTACCTGGCTTCCAGCTAGACATTCCCACATTGCTTCCAAATTGTGGAATGAGAAACCCTGGCTGAAACTTTACAATCATGTATGACACATCAGAAACATTTCATCTGGGCTCAGAAAGCCTAGGTGACGAGGAGTGTGTCCTCACTCAAGAGCAGGGAGGTTGCACTCTTCTGATCAAGGTAGTGCAACTTGGCCCTTTGGGTCTCAGTGCTTCTCACGTGGAATCAGAGTGATTTGTAGTGAGGCCAGCCCTCCTCTGACTGTGGAAGGACTGTGTGGTCTGTGAAAGTGTGAACCCCCATTTGATCGTAAAAAGCATGCCTAGGGTGGTGTACAGGGAAAACTTTTAGATTGCTATTAATATCTTAGAGTGTTTGGCAGATGCGTTATTTCCATAGACACCACAGCCAGAAAGTGGGTTAGGTACTCTTTCATATACACACTGGATGCTAAGGCTGTTCTAAAATAGGGAAGAACTGTTTGTGATGAAGAAAAAACAAGTACAGGATGCAGGAGCTAATGCTGGGAGAAACCCATGTATAGTGGAGTAGGGAGCTGATCTTCATAGAAAATATAACCTGCTCTGGGTGTTACAGGAAAACCCAAATTAATTCTAAAACATGATGTCTTGGAGAAACATAGAGTCAGGCTGAAATTAGGATGTGTGGTGATTTACTGTGGGCTACTGGAAAGGGGGTTATTTTGACTGCCCATCACCTCCAAACCTTCCTCCACCCACATGCTTACCCCACCTTTGGTCAGATAATTCTAACATTCAGTGAGAGGAACCAGAATGACCTCTTGAACCCAATAAAGGTGCTCCTGCCAAAGTGCACTCCCTCCTTCTCTCCATATTCCTAGGGAAGGTTTACCTCTTGATACAAAATGTGGCCCCTAGCCAAATTTTACATAATCCAGTCACCCTGGTATTTAGGCCACACCTCAAAGAACAGCTGAGTGTGTAAGCCAAGGCTATCGAGATTCTAGAACGCTTTGGCACTGGGTCATGCCCGTGTTGGCATGGAGTGACAATATTGGAGCATCACACTGAGGAAGAAGGATCATTCTCTCTCTAGCATCTAGAGAACTCTTTCTAGGCCAGAAATTTTGTGAGTCCTCAGTCACTGTAGCTCCTAAAACTAACAGCCACACATGTCAGCAATGGCTATAACTGAGGAGCACATGAGCCCGCAGCATTGAGCATGCTTCACTTTTTCTCTTTGCAGGAGCACCAGTCAAACTGACCCTTTGCATTTAAAGGAACCCAGGGAAGGTGCCCATTGTCTAGGAAAGAAAAGAAGACATTGTTACAAAGTGGGAACTGGACTTCAGAAATATTTAATCAAAGTAGTAAATGGGTGACAATTTATTGTACTGCTCAAGACATTTGAGGGAGTAAGTCATTAAAATAACTTGTTCCTAATAGCTTTCTTCTTGTGTAGTGCTTGCCAAAAAAAAAGAAAAGAAAAAAAGAGAAATCATCCTATTGTTTTATGAAATAATATGTGATGTTTTATTTCAATATTTTGTGCTAGCAAATTCACATATCTTTGCACTGAACCTGCCTTACCAAAATATTTATTAATGTAGATTATTAAATGAAATTGATAAGTTAGTTCTTTTTACAAATGAATACCAAAATGCAGACACTGGCAAAAGGGAACAATTATAGCTTCAGTCATTGCTTCATCTAGGTTCTCAATGGGTTTCATCAGAGTTCAGTTTTTCTCCATTTTTGGGCTCTGCCTTCAATTGTGTAGCCTTCATTCTTTGATTTCACATGGTGGCCCCCAACATTTCTAGGCTCATATATTTCCATATTGAGGTCCACAGATGCAAGAACTTAATTATTTTCTAGTAGTCTTTTTTAAAAAGCTTTATGGGGGAGTTGTGGTTTTCTTCAGAAAATTCACAGTACTTCAGGCATGATTCCCACCCACCACTGCTTTGTAGAATGCACAAAGTGGATAGCAGCATCAAGAAAAGTGGGGAGTTACTAAAAATACAAGATTCAGCCCTTCCCCTCCTTCCCCTGAAAACCATATGCCTTCTTCACTCAGTCTGAATTCGTCAGGTGCCTGTCTTTTCAATGTGGTATCACATCAGCACATAGGCCCGAGGGAAAAAATAAAAGAAAAATAACTTTACGAGTCTACAAAAACACACAACTAAACTAACCGGAGCAGGGGTGAGAAAGAAGGTGAAGCTAAAATCCCATAACTCGGTCCTCAGCCCTGGAGGCCAGTTGCTCAGGACTCAGTGGTCCCAGCCCTGTTTGCTCTGCCCCAGGCTGGGGGTGAGGAAGCTTTTGGAAACTTCTCTTCACGCTCAACACATCTGCCTGCTTGGGGGCCCCAGGTCTGGGGAAGTGGCGTTGACAGGCCCTTCTTACTTGCCTCAGTATTAGGAGCGTGGTCATGATGCAGGGAAGCCATGAGCTTGTTGCCCCAGGAGGTGCCCTGTCTTTGTGGCTTTGATCACCTATGAGGCAGCCTTGATGGTAGTAGCTTTTATTTGACTGTTCATTAGAAATTGAGATGCATTTATGAATAGGCATCTCTCACTGCAGGTGAGTGATGGGGACAGATGGACCCCACAGACATGAAGATTTATTTTTCATGTGACTGTCTTTAGCTGTTAAGTATAAAGGGAACGGTAGAGAAAGAGCACATTGGGGAGAACGAGGCTGAGCTTTCTCTCTCTCCTGGACCCCTCCCGCAGGCTGGAGGACATGCTGAGTGCAGGGCTGCCTTGCCTGCTGATTTCTGTCCTAACTTGTAGAAAGAGGTGTCAAGTCTTGGAACTCCGTGGACTGCAGGGAATAGCACAGACCTAGGGAACTGGCAGGCAGTGCTGACTTGCATATGACCTGGAATAAAACCCGTGTCCCCTCAGGGTATATGTCTGTATATATATTGACTAAGTGATTGCTAAAGTGACTCCCAGCTCTGAAATCTTCTGAGTGTTTTGAACTGGATCTCCATGTCTCTTCATCATTATCCACCACTGTCATGTTCTGGGCATTGTACTCAACCTTTCCATACATGATCTCATTTTTTCCACACTTCAACCTTCCCGAGTCTATACTTTGATCACCATTTCACAGATTAGGATACTCTATCCCAGAGAAGTTACATGACTTGCCCTATGATTCAGCTATGAAGAGGCAGAGCCAGGAATTAGAGCCAAGATCCCTTTCATTCTAAAATCCATGGTGCCCGCCTAGAGGAAGTAAATTTCTCTGCCAATAATGATTTTTTTTAAAAAATTCATGTATTAATTTATGACAATCTTCTAGTCAATTTTATCTAAAATCACATACATATTATTATGTGATTGAACCAGGTACAATTTGCTCCTTTAACAATACCAGTTATCCTATCTGGAAAAGGAGAATAATGATACTGTTTATAGCATAATTTGATGAGAAAAGTTAAATTAGATGAAGTACAAAGTGTGTGGAAACTAGCTGACACATTGTTGGCACTAAACAACTTACAATTCTTTTCTCCCTTCTTGATTCAACATGGGCAAGTCCTAAGAAAGCAGCCATCCCTTTGATGCTGCACTGAGTAATTTCAATTGAGTTTCTGATAATCATTTATTACAATTTGTGAATGAAATGATGTAAGATTGGTAACAAATTCAGTTTGAAATCAAATATGGCCTAGACATAGCTCTCAAATCAACGACAAATAATCTTCTGAAAGATTCTATTTATTCACTGAAAGCCTGAAGGGCACAACTGGTATGTGGGAGGAAGCCAGATATGTCAATAAAAGGAACAACTTTCCAACAATTTAAACTGGTCAAAGAATGAACAAGCAGCCTCAGAAGACAGTGAGTCTTCTATCATCTTAAATCACAGGATAGAAGGAGGTCCTTTGTTGGGTGAGGTTGCATCTGAAGACCTTTAATAGTGAAGACTCTGTGCTTCAGAGAGCCCGTGAATCTGCTAAGATTTAATGGAATTTATGGAGGAGTCAAATACCTTAGTTTGCATTTCTTATTTTCTCACTCATTTAGGTGTGTGTGTGTGTGTGTGTGTGTGTAACACCAGCACACCAGGCCCTGGCCTAAGCACCAGGGATATAAGATGAATAAGATATATTCCTTCTCCATGATGAGCTGATAATCTAACAAAGGTGTGACACATGTAAAATAAAAAATGCAATACAATTTGACTGATGTTATATTAGAAGACTGTATAAGGTATGGAAAGCACAAGTGGAGGTAATCAGTGCTTTCTCTTTTTGGCTTAATGGCTTATTTTTTGATACTTTGGCCTAATCTTTGTGTTTGAACCTTTTAATTCAGTCACTAGATTTCTCTGAACCAGTTCTAGATATCTGCTCTGCAGATTGCAATCAAGGGGGGAAACGCTCCTCACCATTCCCCCAACAGTGGGAAGGAAATTGCCTTCCTACTGTTAACTCTACCTGGAGTTACAATTTGAGATTTAGCAGTGAAGGTAGTGATTGGAGCAATGAGAAAGGGTGAGCTGAATCTGGGATATGAGATAGATGGAGAAGAAAGAACCAAACAATAAGAAATAGTAGAAGCTCACTGGTCTGTGGATATGCTTGGGTTGTTTAGTTCCTTGGATAGAATCAAAGCATGCACTGATTGTGAAATGACATAGCTACGGGGATGCAAAGCATAATTCTTAAATTGTGTAACACATTTAAAAGAATCTAGAAAGAGCAACCACCACATAACCTGAGAATGTAACACAAATACTAGTTAGTTCCTGTTCACAGCACACCTTTTGTCACCTCTGGGAACTCTGTATCTTTGTAGCCCTGAGATTTATTATAGAGGATTAGTGACGTTCCAATTTACTCAAATGTTAGAAATTAGGACCCAGAGGTCCTATTTTTAAAAATATCACATTTATCTATATGGATACTAGTCTATTTCCCTGATATAAGAAGGAGCCCCTTCCAGGAGTGCTGAGAGAAAATGTTCTAATGTAGCTTCCACTGGGGTTACCAGTCATCATTTGATAGAGATGGTGAACCTTTGGACTTCACACTATTTTTCATATTCTGCAAAGCATGGGACATAGACTAGATTAATAACTCACGCATAGAAGAAATATGATAATTAGGGCTGCATATTACAAAAGGCATGCTCAAGCAGAATAAAACCATTGGTTTTGTAGTCACCAGATTTTACCAGCAAGCACAATTTTGTGTTAAAATATTTCAGAGATGAATAGGAGGGGAAAATGACAAAAACACTTCACTAATAATAATCTATCCATGGATAGGTAAAGAGATATGAATTAACTGTTTTTAAATGATTATGGAAGGTGCTTAATTAATATCAACTCTTCCAATCTCTTGTAGTGATTACAGTTAAAAGACAATAAAAGTACATTTAACTAAGTGTGTGACTAGAGAGTAAGGAGCAAATCCCAGTAGTGTTGATAGGTCATATGTTCCAGTTTCATGTGTGAAGTTGAAAGGTTCTATTTGGTATTCAAACTGACTTAATTTTTTTTGTGTGTGTTTGCTATTACATAAGTGATTAGGACAAGTAAGCAAACAAAAAAAGAGTAGAATAAAAATCACCACCAGAGGTCACCATTGCAAACATTATTCCCAGTGATTTAAGTCACAAACTATCTGTAGTGTGAGGTGAATCCCAGACAATAGAAATCTTTTACCTTATTTTTAAAGTATTCAGAGACTTTGAAGTTAGGAAGCTATGAGTGCTGTCCATTGTGTAGTTGAAGGGATGAGAATATAAGGTTATGTGATATGAAAATGAACAACAGTCCAAATAGAGGCCCAGGTTATTCCCCTTTCACAGGACTGATGTGACTCCCACATGCAAAGGTTTTCTTTTTGGGAGTCATATAGGTTATACTTCAATGAGGAATATGTCAAAGGGTAGCCATAATGATAAAGGGTATTCTCTTTATATATCACAAAATAAAGAAAATACATGTATCTTCAAAGTAATAGCTTTATGCTTTATAAATATTTCTGATAGTCATGTTCCCCTAACTGTTGAATATCCTTTTTGGTGAAGTAGAGTCAGTTAACTCTGAGTTTCCTAACTCTTGCTCATTACTATAATGATGCCTTGTGGGTTAGAAGTATGTAAAGCCTTTAAAAGTTGCCCTTAAAAAAGAGTGGGTTTTATATAAGCAAGAGGGGGAAA